ACTAGATAGAGGAACAGGCCTGTCTATGGCAGGATAGCTGCCAGCCTGGCCACCAAAGGCCACATGCGAACCCAGAAGCTGTTGGTCCGGCAAGACCCCCAACCCTGGGCCCTGAGCTTCTCCTCCCCCTTCTTCCCCTTGCTTCCTCCTTCCAGCTCCCTCCTCCCAGGTTTCCCCCTCCCCTTCCCCACCTCCTTTTCCCAGTCTCCCCAGAGGTTCATCCCCCCCAGTTTGGTTCAATAAACGCAGTTTCTATTTTTGAACACACGTGTCTTTTGTTTGACATCAGGAAGGGGGGTTAGGGTGAGGTAAGTGGAAGGATGTGAGGGAGGAATGGGGCACAAGCCCCTGGTGGGGAGGGCCGGGGTGGCTCTGAGGGGTCCTCGGGGTGGATGCTCTCCCGCAGGGTCTCCTGGATCCTGACAGCCCCCCAATGGACCTTCCGGATGGCAGCCTGCAGCAAGTGCAACCGGGCTGATGGCAACGACCCCACAAGATGCACAGGTGTGCCCAGGGGCAGTTCTGGCTCCATGTGGCCGAGTGCTGTGGTGTCCCAAGTGCGGGCACTCAGGGCACTCCAAGACAGGACTGCTTTGCTGTCCCTCATCAAGGTAGACAAGCAAGCGGGGAACCCTGAGAACTGTCTGGCCGGGGTGGGGGTAGGGTCCCTTTAAGCACGGAGCTCAGATAGCCTCAGGCAGTAGCCCCACACACTAAGTCCTAACCTGATGCTCTTCCGGCACTGGTTCTGGCCAGCCTTAACTTTGGTTCACGATCCACTCAGTGTAGACATGCTATTTCAAAGTTTGTAGACCCTAATTTGTGTATAGATGTGTTATTTCGAATTAGCTTAATTCGAATTAACTATTTCGAATTAAGTTAACTCGAATTAATGCTGTAGTGCAGACATACCCATACAGTGGAAGGATTCAAAGAGAGGGATGACATGGGCAAAGCAAAAAAACTCAAAGAATGAGCCTTGCAGTCGCATTCTGAATGGACACAAGCAGGGTATGATAGCATTTGTCAAGTCCAGAGGAAAGATATGTGTCAGTAAAGAGATGTGAGATGCTGAGAACCTGAGAGCTTTAGATCTGTGGACGGCTGAGAATAGTTAGCAATATTATGTAAAAAGAATCAGCATAATTAATTATGGCCTGGATGTGAGGCTCTAGAGAGAGGTCTGATGCCCAACTTACAAACTGACTGGTAAACAGGATGATGGCATTGTAGACAGTGATCAGGAAAGAAAGTAGCCAGAGAAGGCAGGGGGTGGGGAAGGGTAGGAGAGGGCAGGGGAGAGGGGATTAAGAGTTGTAGGTTAGCCACATTTAGCTTGAGCTGATGATTAGACATCCATGCAGAGATGCCAGAAAGACAAGCTGAGATTTTAGAGGCAGAGAAGTAAATCTATGAGACATCAGCATTGAGATTGTAGGTATTATTAGTGCTTACATTAGGCTGAATTTGTGTTTGTAGGTGAGGTTACCCAAATGTAATGGGTAGAGAGAGAAAAGAAGGAGACTAAACATAGAGACTGCGTCTACACTGGCATGATTTTGTGCAAATACTTTTAACGGAAGAGTTTTTCTGTTAAAAGTATTTGCGCAAGAGAGCATCTATACTGGCATGTGCCTTTGCGCAAAAGCATCCGTGACAGTGTAGACGCTCTCTTGTGCAAGAAAGCTCCAATGGCCATTTTAGCCATCGGGCTTCCTTGCGCAAGAAATTGATGTTACCCGTCTACACTGGCTTCTTGCACACAAACACTTGCACAAGAGGACTTATCCCTGAGCGGGAGCATCAAAGTATTTGCGCAAGAAGCACTGATTTTGTACATTACAACGTCAGTGTTCTTGCGCAAATACTCGTGGCCAGTGTAGACAGGTGGCAAGATTTTGTGCAAAAGCGGTAGTTTTTGTGCAAAATCTTGCCAAAGTAGACACAGCCAGAGCCTTGTTGAACTGCCCCAGAAAGTTGAAGGGTGAATGAGGAGGCTCCTCCAAAGACATGCTGAAGAAACAATTAGAAATGTAGGAGGGAAACTAAGAGAGAACAGAGACATGGAAGCCAAAGGTGGACAAGATTTCAAGAAGAGTATGATCAACTGGGCTGATTTATTATTGATTCTTGAGGAGGGATGATGATCAATTGTCCATACTGATTCTTTTAGATCTACCATGTGTCTTTGAAATGTGGAGTTTTGTTGACATGTGTGCTGGCCCTTGCCAGGAGAGATGGAATAAAGCTTTCTTTTTTTCTCAGAGGTCCAGTGGGGCAATTGCTGTTCCACCCTAAAGGATATCTCATTGGGTCTCTTCTGGTCACCATTCTTGTTCACCAAGTATGGAACCTGAGGCAATTAGAAAGGTCAGTAAAGGGGCTTTATTTGATATCATGGTCTGCTTGCAACTAGCCCCAGCTGGAATGGTAATAGAGTGAAAGTTTAAACAGTTTCTTTTATCTGTATGTATTCATGTCCAAGCCACTCTATCTCCTACACATTCACATCACTTTTACTGGTGCCCTGTGTTTTAAAAGTGGGCACTGGTAGAGTAAAAATAGGGGGAATACAATCGAACAGATTTCATGTATCTAAAATTGAACTTTGAGAGACAACAAATCATTGTAACCACTTAGAAATACACAAAATAATCAGTCACATACACATACCCAAAAGACTAGGTCAGGCATCTAAATGTGTTAATTGTTCAGATGTAGAATAAGCCACAACTGTTATGGAGAATTTCTAGTTTTATTTCTAGTACATGGTACACAGGAATACAGGTACGTAGGTTACCTCTTAATTTAATTTCACTTACAGTACATACATTTATATGTAAAATTGAATGCCAAAAAGCAAACCTGTGGTAGTAATCTAGCATGCACCAAATAAATAACGCATTCAGTCCTGCACCCCTGCTGTCTTTCTGGCCAACATCTGGACAGAATTCCCTTAAAACTTTATTGGTACAGAGCTTTAATTGGTCAAAAGGCACATTGATGAGTGATGCAAAGTGTTTTCTTCCCATCAAGCCTCCAATGCTGTCAAAAGAAAGTCTTTACACAGTTTAGAATTACAACTCCTTTTTAAACAACTTAATCACTTAGCTTTTAAATTATTCAATCCAGTTTGTATAAAATTATTGTCATGGTATTGTTAACCAATTGCAAATCTACCCTGATATGCTTCTCTTGTCATGGATTTTAATCTCTAGCACAAACCTCTAAAGTCCCTCTAAACTGTCTTCTGACTCGAACTTGCATGCAGGCAAGCTAGTGAGGGAAACCCTTTTAGCTTAGATTCTGTAATCCAAGGTCTGGAACGTCCCTTGCTCCCTTTGGTTCAAGGTGACATGTCTTCTTGCCCTAGAGAAACCTGAACTTAGCTTTCCTCATACCCTCATTTTCTATACTCAGTATATACCATGAACAGCCAAAAGCAGGTGCTCAGTTATTCCACCGTTCATGTCTCTTGGCTTTCTCAGTATATGCCAAAGACAGGTTAACCCCCCCTCCCCTCCTGCACACACAAATAACTGATTTCATAAGCCATGGGCCCTATTTGCCTAGTGTAACTCCACTGATTTAAACCAGAGACAAATTTGCTCTTATGTGTTTTATAAAACCATAGGAAAAAAATCCATCTGTTGAAAAGTCTTTTGACTAGCACATGCTTCTCCACGGATGTGGTATGTATAAAAAGCATAATAATTTTCTAGCAGTATATATATATAAATGTTCCTTGAAGTAAAGAGGCTCTTGGGAAATCACTGACGGGCCACTTATTCCTCTGCACTCCCGCTTCTTTGGCAGTATT